TGGGATGCAGCATTTCACTCTGTCCTAACTACTCAAATCCATTTCCTTTGCAAAGAGACATGAAGCCCTTAACATCCCTGTGTGGAAGCACAGGTTTCTTTCTCCCCGTAGAATGCAGCTTTCTTTCCGCTGGTTATTGTATCTGATAACTACTCCAGCTGTGCTCAGAAATTTTGCATTGTGGTCTGGCAATTCAGAGCTCTATGAATTCTTTATTTCTCTAATGCAGTTTCCTAGTAAATAGCTTTGAACTCAGATCCTTGTCTCTACAATAGCTATGCTTCTGCCTAGCTGGCACTTCACAATTAACAGCATTATCTTGTTAAACCTGGAGAGGTGTAGGAAGGCTCACCCATCATTTTAAAGCATTTTATTGCTTAGAAACTGTTTACAATAGGCTACAGAAGTTGTAAATGCAGACCAGCACTGCATTCAGATGCCTGATTAGCTCAGCCATGTGAAAATGCCAATAATTCAGGGTTCTATTTTGGACATCATTTCTTAAGCTGTAACCTGAAAGCACTTGGGATTTTTGAAGAAAAAAAAATGGAGGGAAGGCAAAAAATAAGAAGTAGGATGAGATTTGGGGTGAGATGTAAAGCTGTATCACAAGGCTGTCTTTCCTATTCACGTTGTCCTAAGCACTGCCCTCAGTGAAGACACAACTTGCTCTGGGAGTTGTACAGACCAGTCACTGCTCGAGCACCCCGTGTCTAGAGAAGTAAAAAAAATGTTGTTTCCCTTCTGGAACAGTTACTGTGCTAAGGTTTTGTCAGCTACTGCTTTACGTGCTTACATTTCACACCCACAAGCATCTCCATCAGCACCGTGTAACCTTTCATCTGTTGGCTCCTGTAGTGTGCGAGCTGCAAAGAGAACAAAGAATCTGTATCTTTGGGTTTTCAGCAACTTGATTTGAAAATTGTCTCTGCTATAGCCAAGCTGGAAGTCCTTGCTGTGCTTAGCTACCCTGCATGGCTGCAACCCTACCACACCTGGCTGAAACCCACAGGAACCAGCATAGATACCACTGGCTACTGTACAAAGCAGATGGAAGTATGGAGACCTCCTGGGGAAACATCTCCCTTTCTAAGGCTTTTGGAAGGGAAATGGCTGTGCAGATATTCAGTCATGCTCAAGGAAGTTACCACCTGCAAACATCAAGGAGAGGGCACCAAAAATAGAGCAGGCTCGTTGCTCACTACCTAGTTTGCACCTCTCAGAAATAGATTTTGTATCTTATAAATAAAGTTATATATATATAATTAAAAATATTATATATATAAAAATTATATGTATATAAATCAAAAATATATATAATTAAAATAATATATAAACGATGGATAACATAATGGATAAAATACAGAATGGACACAAAGCTGAACATGATCCAGCAATGTGATCCAGCTCTTGTGGCATAGAAGTCCACCAGCACCCTGGGCTGCATTAGAAGAAGCACTGACAGTAGGTTGAGGTGGGAGACCCTGCCCCTCTAGCTAGATGTGTGGTGAGACACATCTGGGATGCTGGGTTCTCCAGTACAAGAGGGAGGGATATCCTTGGGAAGCCCCAGAGAAGGACCACAAAGATGTTGGAGAGACTGAAACATCTGTTATATGGAAAGAGACTGAGAGACTCAACTGCTCAGCCTGCAGAAGATAGGGCTCAGAGAGATCTGATCAATGTATAATAGCTGATGGGGGAAATAAAAACAGTCAGATATTTTTCAGTGTTGTCTGGTGATAGTACAAGAGGCAATAATAATGAACTGAAAAACAGAAAGTGTTGATTAAACTTAAGAAAAAGCTTTCTTAATGTAAGGGTGGTTGAACACTGGAAGAAGTCTCCATCCTTGGAGATCCTCAGAGTCCAAATGTTGGGCAACTTGACCCAGCTTTGAGAAGGGAGTTGGGCTGGATGACCTCCAGGGGTGCTTCCAGCTTTGCAGTCCTGTGATTCTGTGAACACAGTGTCAGAAAACAAGCTGTAAGAGAAAAGCAGTGGTTCTCAGGGCACAGACAGCCCTGATTTACACTGTGTAAAACAGCTGCCTTTGTGACCTTACAAATTCTGCATAGAGGAGACTGCCCCAAAGTTGTGTATCTGACTGTCTCAGCACCCCAGCTGCTGGCTGTAATGTCTGCACACCACTCAGATGGTTAATACCCAAAATACATTTCTGCCTGAGAGCGTCATGAACCGATTATCTGCCCAAGGAGGCTGTGGATGCCTGCAGGCATTCAAGGCCAGGCTGGATGTGGCTCTGGGCAGCCTGGTCTGCTGGTTGGCAACCTGCACATAGCAGGGGGTTGGAACTGATGATCACTGTGGTCCTTTTCAACCCAGGCCATTCTATGATTATGACTGAAGTCTACAGATAATGGCCCAGACCTTTCTCCATAGCTTTTTCAGAAGCACAAACTGTTTAGATTTTTTAAGACAATAGTCAGGTTGCTGATTGACAAGCCTCATGAGCTAGAAATATCTTCCTTTGGAGGAGTTTTCTAATAATAAATTGTTTTCTTATGCTGGCCAAGAAGTTTGAAAGACCTAATAGTTGTTGAAAACAGAGAAATGATTCAGTTGAGAACTAAAGTATATTGTGTTTCTGGTAAGAGAGACTAAAAATACTGCAGTTATTTCTTTTAAGTATTTGTCAGAATTACCATCACATAAAGTCTTTCAAAATTATGTTACTAAAAATGCCTGAACTCCAGAACACATTAAAACCTACTGCAGAAATTACGAATGGAATTCTGTGCTGTGCTCGCTGAATACTGGGCAAGAAGAGTCTGAGGTGATCCTAAACCTCTGATGGTCCCTACAGATAGTTAGGATTCCAGAAAAATTCAAGATTTTTCACATTAGAGGGCAATGAGGCAACTGAGAGAACAGAAACTGGAATAGAAGCAGGATTTTTTGCTTGCAGGATTTTTTGCTTGCTAAAAGCAGTGAGCAGTGGAAGATCAAAAGGGAAATTCCGCCCTGGTAGAGCTGCATGCCACTTAGTGGAGGGCACTTCAGTGCCTATGTGACCCTGGCTTCATATCAAGATTTGTTCTTTGTATATTGGTAGCCAGGCTAATAACTTTTCTGACCTTCTTTGGTGTATTCAGTGAGTGCCTGTATTCTAGATGGAGATGTAAGTTAAGCTTCCCAGTTGGTTGAAATCTGAATAAATAACCTCTGATTTTAGTCTTAAGGGTGCACAGAGCATATTGTGCAGAGAAATGAGTTTCCAACAGGAATAAAGCAGCAGCCAGTGTGGATTTCTCAGAAACACATCATGTCAGGATATTCTTTTAATTACTGTTATTATTTACCATGTTCTGTGGTAAGGGAGAAATAAGTTGTATCAGGGATGATGGCTTTTGCTAGGTTTTCAGTACTTTCAGGAAAAGTAATGTGAGACAAATGGGAAAAATATGGTCCTACTGAACTTCTGTAAGGTAGATGTCACCCTGGCTGCCTAACCACAGAAGGTGAGTAAACATCAGCAGAGAGATGAACGGATGTGGTTCTGCATTTTGTCCTTTTGTTCGTGGTGGAAAAGAGATTTCCTTATTAAATTTGCAGATGGTGTGAAGCTTGGATGGCTGTGAGTCTATTAGAGAATGGTATTAGAATTTAAAATATTCTTTACAAATTGCAGAAATAGGCTGAAAATAAATTGATTAAATGGAGAAAAATCCTAGGTATTGGACTGAAACAAATACTAAAATGCCTTTTGTACACTGAGCATGTGAACAAGAAGCAGTCCGTTTGAAAAGCAGTAAGGAATCATAAAGGATCATAAGCTTGCTCTGAACCCAGAAATATGGCCCAGGTTGTGTACTTGAGAGGGACCGAGGTCAACAGTGGAGCAAGAAGGACTGGAAAGCTTTATCTTTGACAGGAAAGCAGTCAAAGATAAAGCAAACATTACACCATTGCAGAGAAACATGAAGGAAATTACATCATTTAGCTTGAGAAATAAGGGAACATACAGTAACAGCTTTGTCACAAAGTACCATTGCAGAAAGAACAGGGATTTTCTCCGTGTCCCTGGCAGACAGGAGGAAGGAATTGTCCTTAAAAGCAAGGTCTTACGGAACAGACCTCCTGGGGAAGAAACGAAATATCAACGAGAGGTTTTTCAGAATAGCAGACTTAACATCAAGCATGAGGTGTAAGTTTCTTGAAATCACCTCACCACACTTTCATACATACCCTAACCTGGCCAACAGATCTGGACAAAGACATTTCATTCCTTATCAAAGGCTTTCTGGAAGCTAAGGATGACCAAAATTAATCAGCAGTCACTTGCTTAATGGTTTTTTGTTACAGTGAGAAAAGAGAACGGTGTTTTCCACCCCAAAGGATGGCAGCAAATTACTGCTGCCATTGACCACTGACCATGCCAGCACTGCTGCCATCGACCGTCCCTCCTCCTTTTCAGCTCGGTGCGTTTACCTGAGAATGCATCAGGTCCTGTGGGATCCTCTCAGAGAGGCAGAGCTCCACCCAGGTGCAGCTGTTGCATTCTGCCTGCATTTATGAAGCTATTAATTTGATCCTTCCCTGTACTCATGTGATGTTGCTGTGGATGGCTGTGGTCACAATGGGAGAATCTGTTTTCCACGTAGTGGGGGCTGATGTCCTGAAAGCTTCATGTTGGATGGAGAAGGCATGGAGCTGGGCTCTGAGGTTCCATCCCTCCCAGGAAGGTATCACTGATGCCTGCTAGTCCCTGTCTGGACATGCTTCTTACCTTTGCAGATTACTTTAATTTGCAGGCTCAGCAGAAGGGGAGCAGTTTCTTATTATCATGTTCTTCTTGCTTCTGGAATTTTAAGTGAACTGTGTAACAGACTCTTCTGCTTTCTTAAGCATTTTCTTCTCCTTTCTTTAATCATGCTGAGATTTCCTGTGAATGCTGTGAGCTGTAATTATCATCTGCAGATCAGTGGGTTTGCTAAGCTGTTTCTTAAAGGGATCTTTTTTTTTTCTGTGAATTTCAGATGACCAAGAACAAAATTATAATCACCTGATACTAAACAGTGCCACCCAGACACCTACACATGGTAAGAGAAAACAGAGCAAAATTACACATGTTGTAACTTTCCTCTGCCAGCCAGTAACATTTACTGGTATCAAAGTATGTTTAATGTTAATTGAATGGTTCCCATGGCAGTGATGCATGAATGATGGATTCCATTAGCATTAAACATAGGACCATATTTTTCATTAGTGCACACAATTAAATATGGCCCAATCTTGTATAACTTTAATCATCATCTTTGTGTTTCCCCCTGTCTGGTTGCTCCCTTCTCACTTCCACATCAGCAAAGTGCTGTCAGATTTAACCACACAAAATGACACCCAAAGAAAAGTCCATCTTGTTGACCGAGCCACTCAACTCATAGTGCTGACTGTAAATTTTTTCCAGATAGGTTAGAAGGACACTGAACATGGAGTAAGGGCCCTTAAGCTGACATGATTTTGGCATTAATGGCCAGTATGTGACCAGTGTTTGGGATCCTCCAAGCTATCCAACCCACACTTGCATGGGTCTGGCTGGGATAATGTACTGAAGCCCCTGATGTGCAGTGGCACAATACACTCAGAGTTTGAGTTTCTTGTATGCAAGGTAGATAAGGACTGTGAAGAGACCTGGGATTCCCCCTGCTCACTTTTCATAACCAGAAATACCCCTTACTGAACAATTTCTGATGTTTGCTTTCCCACCCCTTTATTTTACTGTGGGAATGTGGATGTTTCCCCACCCCTAGGAACTTATGAAACCCATTTGTCATGTCACTACACCCACAGCAAGGGGGACTGTCACTGAGCTATCCTCATGGCCTCAGAAGTGACACCTCAGGAGTTGTCTGGGGCAGCCTATCTCCGCCATATATCCTGTCCATCCTCCAAAGCTCCCCTTGCTTTGGTTCTCAACACAAACAGCTTCAAATGTGTTGAGTCTCCTCCTAACACTGCTCTTGCTGAGCTCCATGAAACAATGATTTTCATGTATTACCTCTGTACATGGTTTAACATATTTAGTGACACCTTTCTCTCCAGCCCCTGTCCTCTTGACCAAGTAAACTTACGAATGCCCTTCATCAACCTTCAGCCACTTTCAAGAGTTCCGCTGCACCTCAGAGATATTCCTTCACTGTCCTCCTACTTTCCACTGGAAATATTTTAACCTGGAGCTGTGCCTTTGCTTCCCCTGTGGCCAGAAGCCCTGCCCTTCTTCCTCCTCTGCCTGAGCTCCTTCCTTGCTTTGACCTCAGCCCAAGATGAGCAGTCCCTTTGGCAGCATGTCCCTCCCTGCACTGCAGCAATCACAGACCACCAGCAGAACTCCCTGCATCTTTCTGGCTCCAACCAGACCCGAACCAGTCACTGACCCTCTGCCTCTGTGCAGTCAGCCCAACCTCTGAATGTACCCCTATTTGCTGTGCTTTCTTCCCTCTTCACCTGGTGCCTTGTCTCAATCTCCTCCTTGTTCCTCCCTTTACCTTTGAATGTGAGATATTTCTCCAGCACTCCTGGTGGGAACCCCCCCTTGCTGAGGAACCAATAAGTGATGACATCTCATCCTAACGCATATCGGTTCTCTCTTCTTGTAGCTCTAAACTGATGTGTTTGTTACTCTTTTTGTTCTGGTGTTTGTTTTTAACTCTGTAACTTCACTTTGACAAATATTCTGGAACTGATTTATTGGGAAAGTTGTGTGTACTCCTATAAGAACTTCCACATTTTGTTATAAAAATTGGTGGGAGAGCAATTTGCCCTTGAAGAAGTCTCCTCCAAGCTTTGCTGTTTCCCCTTCCTATGGGCTGGGTCATGCTGCTGCTCAGCCTGCAACTTACTTTCTGCTGTAAGGATGCATTTTTTTTTTCCATCTCCCAAAGAACTCAGTGGCCATATAGGAGTGTTGATTGAATGTGAATTGCCAGCCTCAAACACTGTCCAAAACACTGTTTTTTCTTTCAATAATGTATTACTTTCATAAGAATCCTAATAGGATTGGAATTGTATTTCCTTCTGTCTGCCTCTCTGCCTCCTGCTACTTGCTCCCCACATCCCCAACATGCCAGGTTCCCAGAGCTGCCCCTCCTGACCCAGGTGAGCCCAGATTGCCTGCATATGTGTGCAGGAGTGTTAATGTAGTTCCATCTCTAGAACCCTACAGCAGTCAGTAATTCAAACTAACAGCATGTGCTCAAATGGTTAAACTTTGCTCTGGGCCTGACAGATGCCTTTGTTTTTTATCGGCTTGAGAGAGAAAATCAGAACAGACATATTTGTGCTCTTGGCGTAGAAACTTTTGCTTTTGTTCTCCACTACTGTTATCTGAGGATTTTGGTTGTACAAAGCAACTCGGATGATCTGGCTACAAATAACAGCATGATTTGGAGTTCTCTTTTGTTCCTCAGTTATCTGTGTGGTCACGGCCACTTCCGTTTGAGATACAGGAGTGCTGCTCTGCTGAGCCATTGCTCGGTGACTTTAAAGAGGTATTCGGACTTTTCAAATAAGGGATCAAAAGAGCATTCAGTATTCATAATTTATTGCTGAAATTCTGAGATAGTTCAGCAAAGCCACAGATCTAATTTAATTCTCTTCCCGGGTAAGACATGGCATACATTTTTCTGTGTGATTACACAGATCTGTAGCTGGACATGAGCTGTCTCTTTGAGCACTGTTTGTGAGCTCTGCCCCTCAGCCTGCCTTGCACCCACCACAAAGGGACACCTGCAACAAGCAGAAGAAGGGAAGGAAACCAGTGCAAGGTTCAGGACGTGCCCTGCATCACACATGGACCAAGTTCACTCTCTGCTGAAGCAAAAAGACAGGGAACAGTTCTCATGCTACCAGCAGACTGCAAGCAGGGCAGAGGATGTAGGAAACATGCCACTTAACAATCAGTGCTGTTAACACAGGAAGACATTTCAACCTGAGCAGTCAGAAAATCCCTCCTGTGTGGAGGAAATCCTCACAGCCCCCCAGGGGCTGCCTCACCCAGCAAGGATGCACTTCATCTGGTTTATGTGAAGGGGAGGGGAGTTGTTGCAAAGTGGAGATGCCTGTAAGGACTAAAGCTCAGAGGCTGATGATCTTCCCATCTCCCATCTTCCTAGCAATGTTATCATTCTTTACTTTCTCCTCCTATTCCTATTTTAGCAAGTGTCCAAAGTCATGTAACTGTGGGAGTATGCAGAGGAGGTTCTCCACAACCCAGCTGTGGTAGATATGGGGCCCAGGGCTCTGCAGGAGTCCTCCTCACTGAAGAGGGATGACAGCAAGCCCCCCATGCTCGCCTTTCCCTGCACTGTACATCTAGTCCTTAGTAAATGCAAAGCAAACAGCACCAGATCATCAGTATCCCCAAAAGTTTTGGGAATCATAACAAGTTCTCAGCATGCAGGAGTGACCCAGACGTGCTATTGCACCAGAGCAGCTGTTCTGCCAATCAGCATTTTGGAAGCAACCCACAGTACCTCCATTAGCAACACTTTTGTTCAGCTGGCATGGTAAGAAGATGGCCAACATCCATTTCCATGAGCTGATATTACCTGGTGGCCTATGTCCTGCTGCCTGCAGATGCCACTGTGATGAGCCCCCTGTGATTACAGGTAATGTCTGTCAGTTCCACATCCAATCACTCTGTTTTATTACTATGGCAGATTTTTTTCCTGTAAAGAAACAAATTGAAAGATGATAAAGTCAACCCATGGCCACTGGGATCAAGAAGAAAAAAGATGACAACAAAACAGACTGGACTTGGGTTTTGTGAGATGCTCAGGTTCATTCATCAGGTTCCCAGAGCTGAAAAACCAGGAGTCTCTGGTTTAACTTGCCTTGGGTTACAGCACACACTTCCTCAGTGCCCATCGCAGTGGGCTGTGTGGCCGTGAGATTACACTGAATACTTCCGATGCAGGAAAGAATAACTACTGATTAATGATGAGATTGTGTATAATCTGTTCTATCAGGCTGCTATCATTCAATTAGCCTAGTGCTGGTAGCACGGCCAACACTGGGTGAGAAGAACGTCTTCCTTTTCCTGCTGCCGGGCTGGAATGGAGGGTATACAGAGAGGTGGCACATATTTATCCTGTTGTGGATAACAGGACATGGCAATTTCAAGGGAAGATCAAGAGAAACGACCGCAGGGCTGTTGAGGGCCCAGGGTTCAGCAGCATGTCTTCCAGTGTCCTGCCTCTGTAAGAAGGCTGTTGATTTTCTTGTGATGAGGGCCTGTTTGTGTACCTAATTCACTCCTAGGGCTCTGAACGCCCCATTACAGGACAGGACCTACAGTCCCACATTCTGCTTTCAGTAACCTTCAGACCTCATTTCCTCTGAAATCAGAAGTTTGATCATGGTTTCCTTAGCTCTGATTTTACAGATTTTAGCTCCAGATGAAGAATTCTACAACTGTTTGTGGAAACGTAGAGATTTTGTATGTAAAAGCTGAATGTGAGTGCTCAAGTACTTCTTTCTACAATGTGCAACTAAGTTCTCCATGTGAAATGCAAAAACACCTTTGGATACACTCATATATCTCATTTAGCTACTCAGTTTTTGTACAAAATAAGCAGACAAAAAATTTTTTTCTGAAAAAATCTTAAAATATGAAAAAAATAGAAGCTAAAGTACAAAACTGAAGCAATAACAAATACGTGCTGACTGCTCAGGCTCAGTTTCTGTAAAGCTTATTACTTTATTTTTTACTGCTACTTAAGTTTAATTTCATTATATTTACTGCATATTTGATTATGCTAAACCACTAAGAGCCTTGTATAAACATTTTTTTATTTCCATATAAATAACAAGGAAATTGCTAAATAATATAGTTAGTAGGAAGTTCATATCATAATTTTTATGTTAGTTCATTGCCTTTGATGATCATCTCAAAAAATACTTGGTAAAACATAAGGAACAAATGGTTTCACTTCAAATTTTGAAGTTGGTCAAGTGTTTTTCCAGATAATGTCTGAGTTTGCTCTTGGGGAGGTAAATTCAGTTGTAGCCATACCCAAGTGAATTTCAAACGAGTTTAAATGTA